TTAGTTATTACTTTTCTTTCCTTGAGCTGATTGATTTTTGTTTGAGGACAAACAAGTTTAAGTTGAGGAGAGTTGATAAGTGCTAAATTTTATTGATTTTGAGTGTAAATAATTGGCACTTATTAGTTTAATTCAACTAATAAACCTCAACTTTTTTGCATATGTTGTATAGTTTACGTTATAATGTATATATTGCGTATCATATAAATATGATTGAGTTTAATTTCTTTTCTCTCATTTTTGTAGGTATATAAGCAATGATATTTTGTCACTGTCTTATAGAGCATTGAACAATCTTTCCAACGCTTCCGACCGCGCGTAAAACATAGTTACGACTTAAACGTTATGGTCAAAACAAGTGTTGGTTTTGCTGTCATGTTCGCTAAGCGAACAAAAGTTCGCAGTGCGAACAGGAATTTCTAAAACGTGTGAAAAACACTATTTTGACAGTAGAAAAAGAGGGATAAGTTCGTTGTGGGAACGAGACTTCGCTAGGCGAACACTGGAACCCATTTTTGCCTATTTAAGTGATCATGTTGTTGGGAAACTTTTTACCCCAACTTCATCAAACATATTCTTGAGTAGATTTAGCTTAGAAACAACATTGGAGGGTGCATATTGACGATCCGGAGTTGAATCCACTTCAACCGGAGTTGACAAATCGTGAGATTTGTGTTCTTCTTCCTTCCTCTTTATGTATTTTTCATTTGTTGGGGTTTTGTATGTAAGTTTATCTTGATTGTATGTATATTTATGAATCTTTGTATAAAATCTCTTTTACAACTCTTTATCGATGATTATCTTTATTTTTTACCTAATGGGTTTGGATTGCTATAGACATATATGGTTCGAACTCGATCTAAGATGAACATCTATTAGATTCTAAACTCTAGACATAGATTTAGGACTAATATTCACGTGGGTATTGATTCTTAATGCTCCATGTTGTAGAGTTGTGTGAGACATCACCGATGAGACGATACGGTTGATCTCTCGACTTTGTGTTAGACATAACCTCTATTGTGAGCGATACGTGATGATATTGACGAGTGAATTAGGTTGCGTGCATTTGATCCATATATTTTTTAGTGCATGATGGGTAGAACGAAATACAACTCCTGACGAGTTTTCTCATTTCTTAAGAATGTATTTATTTTCTTGCTTTATATTTTTCCTTTTGTATTTTTATCCCAAACCATTTAAACCCAAGCTTAGAGACGTAAAGATTGTCAAACGACATTCTTTCCCTCACACTGATCCCTGTGGAGACGATATAAATCTCGGAGGAAATTCTTCCGAAAATAATATTTTTGCTTGCTGCTTTACCGCTCTAACAGAGCCAAAGTTCCAAAACTATTGATGTTACAAAGGCTTGCGTGCTGGATGCCAAGAATGTTAAGAGTGCGGATTCAAAGAAGGTTGAGTCCAAAGTTGGGACATCTGCTGGCTCATCTACTGGAGCATCTAAGACAAGGAAGGCATATGTGACAACGATGTGGCCCTTCAAGAAAAATCATGACTCTGATGAGGATGATGATGAAGATTGGGTTAATTTCATTTACTCAGGAGGTTGGAGTGGATTGTCGGCTCCATAGTAGAAGTTTTCTTTTGGCTTGGTTTTTGTTGTTGTGTTTTGTTTTGATGTTTGTCTTGTAATAATTCCTTGACAATATTTGTTTCCATCTGGTGTTTTTTGTTTACTTTCATTAGTAATTTTTGTAGTCTTTGCTACTTTGTGTTTCCATTTATGTTTGTTTACATTTACTCTCTTTTTTGTTGTCAATTTTTGGCTAAAAAAGGGGAGTAAAGTGTTAGGTTTTTTGGTTGTTTGTTGTGTCTGTTTGTGATGTTGGATCAGATGTCATGACTTCATGTCATGTGGTGTGTTTTAATACTTCTTAGGAAGAGAAATTTTTTTCGGGTTGTATGCAACTATTTAGAGGGAGCATGATAATCTATCATGCTTGTGTTGATGCCACTGAAGTGAGAAATGCGTGCAATGATGTGCAATCACATGTCCTGACATGATGTGGTTATGGAGAACCTTGGATGCTCTATGGTAATTTATTACTCTGATACTTTGAGTAATATGTGTGGCTTCTTTTATATGTGTTTCTAATATGTGTGACTTCTGCTGTATGCATTTCTAATGTATGAACTTGGATAGTTCATGCTTATATGTCTTGTGCTTTGGGTTTTCCCCTTGAGAGGGATGTGTAAACTGAGGCAGTTGAGGTTTGGATGGGTAGAACAAAGAAAACGCAAAGAAGGGACAATCTATCTGAATTAGAGATTGCACAGGCTTTCTTGAATGAATTACTTTTCGCGGATCTATTCGTAAAGCTTTATATCTTTGCTTCGGGCTTATAGAGCCTAACAGAAGAACTTTCTTTGGTATTGGGTATGTGGGTTGGAAGAAGATAAAGGTCATTGGTTTGCTAAATAGAATTGGAGATGGTTCTTCTGGGTTCAAATCCCTGTCTTTGAATTGGCTCGATCTCAGGTGATTTGGGTTTTCCCCTTCAGGGGGAGTATTGGTTATTTGTGACAGGGGGAGAAATGGACCTGTCTAAGGTTGTTGTGTTGATGTGATGTCAGACCACATGTCTAAACATCTGCTCTTGGAGACTTTTGGAGTTTGAAGGAGATGGAGCTCTAATGATCTGTAGCTGCACTTTACCTCTGATGTCTTTCTGATTGCAGGTTTTGTAGTATTATTCCTCTTCTATTGTGCAAAGGTTGTTTTTGCCAAAAATTTCCAAAGTGGGGTTGTATGTTCTGTGATATTTGGATTGGCTACATTTTGGTAAAACAACATGTTGTTAGTAAGATGTTAAACCAGATGTTCTGCCATGACAGTCAGACATCATGTTCTGCATAATATTATGACATGTTCCAGGACATGTTATACTAGAAAGTTAGGGTATGATTATTTTGGTATTTTTAGTGTGATTCTGAGTGTAGTTTAATCCACACGTTTGCGTTATCCAATGGAGGATATTGTGGGAACTTCTATTTTGACAGATTGTGGTAATTTTCTTAAAAAGGGATCGTTGAGCTTTTTTAAGAAACTTTGAATTTTGTTCCTATTTTTGTGCAGGAGATTATGCTTATAATTCCAAGTTGTTTCCTGATGAATTGCGCTTCAAAATCCCAAGCCCACAAGGTTTGAAGGTTATTTAAAGAAGACCTAAACCTATTGTATTCATGGCTTTCACTTTTGTAAAATAAGGGGAGGTTTTAGAGTCTTAAGCTTTGAGAGTCTTGTTTGTATTATTTGTGCGTCACCCTTGTATCTTTTGATACATAGAAGTATACTGATTGTGTATTGTTAATTGTACATTCTAAAGCTTTTAAGTAAGAATGTATTGTCCTTAGTTGAAACTTGTAAGCAAAACTAAGTATTGTGGTTGGAAGAGTGTTATTCTTCTTTTTGGTTTCTTGAGGTATTGTCACTGGGACTGTGAATGATTAGGAAGTGAGAGGGGGATCTCATATCTAAGAGGTTTATAGGTAGAAGTTACACAAGGTAGTGATTAGGCGAGAAGTTGTAAATGAAGGAGTTTAGCTTTGAACTAATGTTATCATAGTGAATTTTCTTACTGGCTTGGTAGCCCTCAGATGTAGGTGATGTTGCACAAAACTGGGTTAACAATTTGTTGTGTTGTTTATCATTCTGCAATGTATTAATATGTGTTAGAGTGCCAGAATTTCAAAAAATACGATTCACCATTATTGAACTGAAGATGGTTGATAATTTAAAGGTTATGTGGAGTAGCTTTTACCGTTACTCAACAAAGGGTCCAATTGAAGTGGATGTAATGATTCAAAGATTAGTCAAAAATATTTTAAGAATGTTTCAACATCCTAAACCACATGTTTTTAATGACATAATGTTAAATTTACGTAATGTTTTTCTATATGTTTATTTTGATACTTATTTGTGTTAGTTTTCCATTATGTTTTCTATAGGTTTATTTTAATACTTATTTGTGTTAGTTTTTCATTCTGTCATTGTTTATGTTTGTTTCTATTTTGAACTAATAGAGAATATTTCGGAGATACATCTCCGAAAAACTAATAAAGTAATGAACTAAGAAAGATTACAGAGATGAATCTCTAGATTAAATTTTAACAGATAACATAATTGTCACCATTTTCGTCTCGTGTGAAAAAGATGTATTCGGAGATAGAGACATTTTAGTATTTTTATGATGATAGAGGAGAACCCTTAAAGATGGAAACAACAATACTCTCACTAATGATTACACAATAATGTGATTCAGAGTGAGTATCTCTTAACTTCACAACTTTTTATGAACCTAGAGCCTCATACACTAAATTCTCCTTAAATCCATTACGTGTAGGTACAACCCCACTTTCCCGCAACAACAAATGTAATAAAATGACATTACGTTAAATCCATTGGATAAAAAGTCAAGGATAATAAAATGCAAGTTTACATGATACAAATTGTTTTCCAAAGTTTTCATATCTTCAATTTCTCAAACACAGATAAAACGACATGATGTATTGTTGCTTTTTGGATGAATGAAGAAGTTCATCCTTGTTTCTAGTTGTGTCTCAAAGATATAAACAATAATAAATTGTACTCACATAATTTTAAAAAATTTAATTAATTAGATTTCATCATATTAATATTAAACTGTTATAATCAAGAAGCTGGTCTCTATATTGGAAGTTACCATCTTGAAACCTCTTACATGAACTTAATTTTTGTTCAATAGCTTGTAAACATGTATATATACACCACAACTTAAAAATGAGAATGACTATTTAACTTCTCTTATCCAACTGTGTTAAATTTTCTTAAAAGTGAGTTATACTGTTCATTGTGGTCCTCCCCGACTTGAGACTTTAATCTCTGCAGTTGCAGGCAGAGAATATCTGATTTCTACCGAAAAAAAACATAAAACCTATTTTAACTCATCTTTTGTAATAATATACCATAGAAATTGCATACCAAAATGTTAATACTTCTAAAGGGAATTCATGGCCTCCTCCAACTTTTTCCTAAGTGCATCCAGAGACTCCGTCAAATGAAAAACTTCTGCTTCTTCCATTTCTATAGACAATGCAGAAATATTTCCAGCATGATTGCTCTCAAGACGTTCTACAATGGGTGATTTTTCGCCCAAAACCTGCCATAAGAAAAGAACCAATTCAGAAACATATATGTATGAGAATTTCGCATTGCATGCATTCAAGATTCTCCACCCTCGCGTATTCAAGACATCGGTGGCTGTTGGATCAAGATCGCACGGTCCTAAAAGTGTAGGTTTTAAATTGTTTTTTTCAAAAAACAAACTTGAATCTGGACCGTGTGATCTTGATTGAATGGTCACTGATGTCCCGAATGCGTGACAGCTGGTAATCCTGACTGCAGTAAAAGTTGTCTCATCGTACTTTCGTGCAAAAGTTCAAATACAAAAATATTCATTTATTCATCATACCTCAGCTATAGTTGAAATTGCCAAAATTGTCTGCAATCTTTTGACATTGGATTTTGAGTCATGATGTTGTAATGGTTCGATGATTTTATGGATTTCGGGACCAAGGTGGTTACCAAGCATGGAATCGGCTTCATCCAGTACCTACTTAATGAAATTGAAACATACATATGTGATCAATATCTTAATGTTCAGCTTTGATCCCTAAAGTTAAAAAAAGAACTACCTCCGTCTTTAAATATAAGACCTTACTGAGAATTCTCCAAGTCTGTTTATTGGACTCTTCTCAAATTTTCAATTCTATTAATTATTTTCTAACAAAATACTAGTCATTATTGACACTAACCAAGTATTTTAATTCAGCAGGAACAACAATCCCTTCATCAATGTATTGAAGAATCTCACACGGAGTTCCAATCATTAAGCCAATTGAGGAATTCGACTTTTCATTATCTGATGAAGCACAAATCTTTGTAGACTTTAATTCTGCACTACGGATGATATATCTTGCTGCATTAAAACACTGCAATGGCAAAACCAATTCAAAAACTCAAGATGCGCACTCTACACTACAGAAATAATCAGACAAGGTGATGATAGAGTGACCTGTTCGACTTTCTCCTCAGAAGCACAAAGTACAACGGCTCGAGGATGCTTTGAATTTGAACCAAACTCTCTATCTCGTCTTAACAACTATAAAGTTACACGGATTTAATCAATTCAATCAAATCATAGACCATTTTAGCTTAACATTATCCTAAATTATGGTGAAAACTACGACACAATCTTAAATAGCAGCCACAGAAATAGTTGCAGTCATCACTATGGTTTTAAATTGCAGTCCGTAACTGCAATATTGCTGAAGCGATAATCTCCACAATTGCATCAGACCACATTAGAAACCTCATCTGACAACTTCGCCCATATTTCTTCAAGTATTTTCATCAAAACTCAAAATTTCATAATCCCAAAACCCAATTTACTTCTACAGTAAAGAAAAATCTTTAATATTAAGTGTTTTTCAATGGTATATTTCAAACATCTCCCAATCAAAATTTACGGTTGCAATGGCCGCAATGCACATTGCAGCAGCAACTGCAATGACTGCAATCGAAACATCTGCAATCGCAAATACATCCATGACCGCAATTTAAAACCACGGTCAACATGACCGTAATAGCAACATCGACAACCACAACTGCTTCTGCGACCACGATTTAAAACCATGGTCATCATGATCGCAACATCCACAATTGCATCATTGCATCCACGACCACAATTTAAAACCATGGTCATCATGATCGCAATCGCAACGTCCACAATTGCATCATTGCATCCACGACCACAATGTAAAACCATGGTCATCACTGACAAATGCAACCAATGTATATACAGTTTAGATTCACTTTTGCATACATTTATTTAAATTTCAAATGAATAACAAAAGTAAATAAAATTGAACAGGATAAAAACCCTAGGAAGTTAACAAAATGAACCTGAATAAGGGGCAACAAGTAGGCCAATGTTCTATCAGGTTGAGAAGGTGAACTCAACAGCAAACTCTTCCCTTCCAAAATAGTTGGAATAACAACACACTGTATCTCACTTGGTACAAAATCACCAATCTCTTTCATAACCTCAACAAGAATCTCACTCAAACCTAATTCCTTAAAGTTGGCAACCACCGTAGAATATGCATTTTCACTCTCATTTTTCAAACCCTTTTGGACTGTTTTCTCAACGTTAGTATCAAAACTTTCTGGAACTGGATTTGAAACTTTTGGATTAAAAATTGAGTCTTTTGATGACCCTTTGAGTTTCCTTTCTTTGAACTGTTGGAAAATCAGTGAATCCCTTTGGGATTTTGAAAACGTTGAGAAAGATGTTGAACATTGAGAAGAAAAAGTGGGTTGTAGCGATTTTGAAAGTGATTGGTGGTGAATTTTAGAGTGTCGACATGAAAAACAAAGGCTTAGAAGCTCTTTGATTCTTCTTCTCATGATTTTCTGTGTTTTAATTCCGTGTCTTGTTCGAATAGAGGGAAGAAAGAGGGAATAGAAATTTGAGGTTTCGTGTTGCCAAGGTTTTTTTTATTTTATTTTATGAAATTTGATTAGGGTTTTGTTTAATTTTGGAAAATTCTTATTTCACACTATGCTATGAAAACGAATAAATGTCTATCATATTTCAAGGATATATTTATGGACGTGCCATGAATCACTTTTATGACACATTAAATGAATGTCATCCTAAATTAAAATAAAAGATTATTTTGGAGATGCATCTCATAGTATTTTTAACAAATATATTGATATTTGAATAGTTCAGTGAATTTTCTGAACATACATTCATAGAGGTTTGAGATGAGATTTTGAAAGTTTTGTCACCTTTGTATGTAGGATATTTCTCAAGATGCATTTCCAAAATAAATTCATAAAACATTCACCAGCATGATCACATGTCAATACTTGTTTTTCACTCCAAACCCTTACCAAAAACTATTTCATTTTCAATCCACATTTTCACTTCAAATCTTCATTCTTGTGTTTCATCAAATTAAAGGGAGCAAAAGAAGATGGAATTCCAAGTAAAATCCACTTATTTCAAGTCTCATTGCTTATATTAATCTTGCTTTTTAGTCTAAAAATATGCGTTTAATTTGGAGATACATCTTTGGAGTCTAAATGAACTCATCCAAAATTGCATCTTCGTTATTTGTATGATCTTATTTTTTAACTCTATTTACAGTATTAGCACTTATTGAGTGTTTTATTGTAATTGTTTTCATTAGATATGGTACACCCCGGTGTTTTCCCCAAACATGTTGTGTTTTCGGATGCCAAACCTGTTGTTGTGGAGACGATAGATGTTGGCAACCAATTTAAAAATGAGCAAGAGTTTGGATTTCGTGATCACATGCTTCAATGGATTCGTAAGGATGCCTCCAAACTGGGATTTAGTGTGGTAATCGGAAGGTCCAATAATGGTTCGGATAGAAGAGGTACATTTGTGACAATGAGCTGCGAAAAAAGTGGGAAATATAGACATCCTCTCCATAATTTTAAACAAGATGGCACTAGTTCAAAAAAGTGTGAGTGTCTCTTTAAGTTGCGTGTTATATGTTGACAAATAAGAAATGGAGATTTAATGTCATATGTGATTTACATAACCATGTCTGGTGTGAAAAGTTAGTCGGTCATCCAATTGTGTGTCGCCTCATGTCGGAAGAGAAGGAATGTGTTTCAGACATGACATTGAATTTAGTTCGACCGAAAAACATACTTGCAACTTTGAAATGTAAAAGACCAAAAAAATATCTCAAATATCAAGCAAGTGTACAATATTCGGTACCAAAATAACAAGGCGCTAAGAGGGATAGAAGTGAAATGCAACAACTATTAAAAATTTTGGATGATAAGATTTATATTTCCAGGTATTGAACGTGCCAAGATGGAGTAATTGTTAGCGATATATTTTGGACTCATCCTTACTCCATCAAGTCGTTCAACACATTTCATACTGTGTTCATCATTGATTGAACATACAAAACCAACAAATACAAACTTCTATTATTAGAGAAGGTTGGTGTTACCTCTACTGAGAAGACCTATTCTATCAGGTTTGAATTTCTAGAGAGCGAAAAAGAGAAGAATCACTACGTCAAAATTGCTTTTTGGCAGCACTACAAAGACAACGCTTTTTCCTAAAAGCGCTGCTAAAAGTTAAAAAAAAACAAGGGAAAAAACCGCTGCTAAAGGTTATACCTAGACTAAACAATAGAAAGAGCTTTCTAGAAAGCGCTGCTAAAGGCCTACATTAGAAAGCGCTGCTATAGGTCCTATCTAAGTCGCACCTTAGACAACGCTTTCTAAAAGCGCTGCTAAAGGTCTAGGATACAAAAGCGCTTTGTAAGCAAAAGTGCTGCTATAGGTATAGGATAAGAAAGTGCTCTCAAAAGCGTTGCTATAGGTAATTAAATTCTAAAAATAAAATAGATTTTGTATGTTTTGTAAACCCATCCATTCTGTCTATCTCTCTCGCGACTACAATATCTGTGTTTCTAACCCTATCAGAGCTACTCCCTCCGCCGTAACTTCCTCCGACCATGCTTCTTTTCACTCGCGACTACTCCCTTTGTCGTAGCACCCTCCAACCGGCTTCAGTTCTGTTATTCTCCCTCTGTTCACTTCCGTCCGCATTCCCCCATTTTCAAGGTATTTCTTCATTTTCAAGGTTATTTGCATGGTATTTCTTTATTTTCTTTTTTGGATTCGCAAACCATGAAATACATTGTGATGTTGTTGTTATTTGAATTCAATAGAAGCTTGAATGATATTGTTGGTGAGTTAGTGTTGAAGATGTGAAAGTAATGGTATTAATTGTTGGAATGAATTGATGAGTTTGTTTGGTGTGGAAACAATTGAAATGAGACATTGAAAGTGTTGATGTGGATGTTGTTTGAATTTGATTTCAAAATTTTGTTGTAGTAAGATTCAAGATGAGGAATAGTGATATTTATGGTGAACTTATTTTGAGATTCGGTGTTAATTTTGTAAGTTAATGTTGAATGTAAGTAATGAAGTTGTTGAAAATAGTTGACGATAATAACATTGTTGATGGATAATTGTTGAATGTTAGTGATTACTTTGTTTTTATAGAACTTTGTTTTGATCTGTTAATTAATGATTACTTTGTTTTGATCGAAATGTTGATTGAAAATGATAATGAAATTAATTGTTAATTGTTAAGGTTGAAGATGATGAATAGTGATGACATCGTGAATTTATTTTTTATAGTCATTGGTGATGTTGTTGATTGAAACTTGAATGACATTTGTGAATTAATTGTTGAATATTGTGATGTTGTTGATTGTTTGAACTTAAGTGATGAAGTTGTTATATTTGGTAATTTGAATGTGGATTTGATAATTTTGATAATTGATTTATGCTCGAATTGGTGATTTTTTGTGACTTACTTGAGTTGAAACATTAAATGTGATTGAATTTTCATGTTGATGCCATGTTGCTTAATTGAAGGAAGTGTTGATGTTTAATAAATTTGATTCTTGAGACTTTGACTTGTTTCTCCGATATATCTTGTTTGTCCTATTATATACTAAATTATTGTCCTATTATATTTGGTACACCATCAGTTACTAACTTAGTGAATTTGCTATAGGGGTTACTTGTGAAGAGTAAGATTGTGATCGTTTCCAAGAATCTTACACTGTGCGGTTTTAGAAGTTGCTGACTTCTCTACAGGTAATTAGTTGTTCATTTGCTATAGTTGCGTGCATAATTAGTGTTTTTGTTTAGCTTACTTAGTAAAAACCATGGATAAAAAATGGATGTCTTTAAATCGATTGTCAAAAGAGTATGAGAATGGGGTATCAGAATTCGTTAAGTTTGTTATTGAACACGCGAAAGACCTCAGTCGAATCACATGTCCTTACTTAGGTTGTTGTTATGGGCGTCAGATTGACGCAGTTCAGTTGGAATCACATTTAAAAAGGCATGGAATTAATCGAAGTTATACATGTTGGATATTACATGGTGAGATAAGTAACGAGAATGTTGAACCGGGGGATAATATGAACTATGCTTCAAAGGACAATGACACAGATACATACGACTGTGATCGAGTCGAAGAGATTGTAGAAGCACTTGAAGAAGATCTTTAGGATTGTCCCAAAATGTTTGAGAGGTTGGTAAGCGATGCAAAGAAACCGTTGTATAAAGGTTGCATTAAATTCACAAGATTGTCTGCGGTATTAAAGTTGTACAACTTATAGGCGGGCAATGGATGGTCGGATAAAAGTTTCAGAGTTATTAGCTCTTATGAAATAGATGCTTCCAGAGGATCATGTTCTTTCTAATCGAACCTATGAGGCCAAAAAAATGTTGTGCTCTATTGGCATGAGATACATGCTTGTCCAAATTATTGTATTTTGTTTCGAAATAAATGTGCATCGCTAAATGAGTGCCCTAAATGTGGTGTCTCTTGATATAAGAAAAAATTGTCTTGGAGCAAAAGTCTTATGGTATTTTCCTATAATTCTGAGATTTAGATGCATGTTTCGTAGTGAAACAGATGAAAAACACTTCATTTGGCATGTAGATGAAAGAACTATAGATGGAAAGTTTCGACATCCAACAGATTCACCACAGTGGATGCAAATTAATAATGATTATTCTGATTTTAGAGAAGAAGCAAGAAACCTTCGCTTGGCATTATCTACCGATGGAATGAACCCACATGGTCTGCAAAGTATCTCACATTCCACATGGTATGTAATTATTATGATTTATAAACTACCTCCATGGCTATGTATGAAGCGTAAGTACATGATGTTATCTATGTTAATTTCTAGGCCTAAACAACCAGGAATGATATAGACGTATACTTGACACCTTTAATCAAAGACTTAAAGATTTTGTGGGAGAATGATGTGGAGGTTTATGATGGATACAGGAAAGAAAGTTTCAATTTGAGGGCGATGTTATTTGGCACAATTAACGATTTTCCAGCATACGGAAATCTATCAGGGTATAGCATTAAAGGGCAATATGCGTGTCCTATTTATGAAGAAAAAACAGATTGGATGCGATTGGAATTTTTTCAGAAGAATGTTTTTCTCGGTCATCGTAGATTCTTAAATTCTAATCATCACTACCATGGGTGGAGAAAAGCATTCAATGGAAATTTAGAACAAGGTAGAGCTCTACCAACATTGACAGGTGACCAAATTTTTGAAAAGGTGAAAGATGTTAGTACTCAGTTTGACAAGTGTTGCGGTGGAAATAGGATATCAAACTATTAATTAGCTTAAATCACATTTTTAATTCACAACCAATCTTTGATTTATCCGAAGGAAAAGGTCAAAAGAAAGAAAACATATTTTTGCATTGTAAACACAATGCGGGGAGAGACCTAGGTAAGGGGTTGGTTAAGCTTAGGGAAGGTACTAACACCCTAAACTTCTGTAGTACTCTACAGGAAC